CTTCAACCTTAGCTCTAATTCTCAAGTGCCCTACAATAAAAAGCAACAATTTGAAGCATCAATTGTCCTAGAAATCAATTCAATACAATTAATAACCAATTATGACAATTTTATCCTAAAAAAGATACTAACTTAAAGCAAGGATTCTTAATCTAAATTAGACACAATTAACCCTAAAAAGAGCCAATAATAATAATAATAACCCTCAAAATGATATGAAATAATGTAGAATAATTGGGTTCAATCATTTCATGTCCCCTTAGTGGCTATTTGAGGCCAAGCACCAAGACCTTCAGCTAGATAACCATCCTCCCCATACGGCTTAAATTTGCTACCACCTTGATTATCCTCAACATGAGCCTTTAAGCACTCCTCTTGTCTCTTTAAGCTTCTACTTGCTCTACTTCCACGTCTTCTGATCTGTCTTTGAATTGCTTTAACACTTTGTCTTCCCCATTTCCATCGTGTCTCAACTTTACTTGCCTAATCAATCTTCAAAAAAGTATTGAAACACAATTTCCTTCTCTTAGTACACCTCCCTTCCTCCAAATCCTCCATTGTCCTCTTAAGCTTTACTTTCCTTAATCCTAAAGTAACATCAGACATTGGTGATGAGGAACCATACACTATAATGGCTTTGGAGAGATCAATTTTATTATTCTAAATTTCCTCTCCTTTGTCTTCCTGAGCACTAATAGAAACCACTTTAATTCTTTCTCTACCTCTTTGTCCTTTCTATCCTTATGACATACTCCACCTTGTTTCATCAATTCAAAACCCTCCTTTTTCTTCTTATCTTTCACTGTCCCACTAATATTTTTATTATTTATTTCCATATTAGAATGACACTTCTTCTCGTCAATCAAAACCTTCTCCTTCCTCACATCAGAACTTCTCTAATTGTTTACCTTCTCATTATTCCTCTATGACCTACTACCTTTAATCTCCTATCTCCTTCTAGGCCTCAGCTTCTCAATCCAATACTCTCTACAACAAACCAACACTTCTTCTATCACCCTCGCTCCTTAAGTACTCAACCAGCTTCCGAACTTCTTATTAGAATCTGACTTCTCATCCACTTTATAAGGACTGGACCTCCAATTATGTCCTATCCTTCTATATCAAAAGCAAAAGTTTTGCACTCTCTCATAATTTGCTTTAACCCACACTGGCTTCTTATTTGGTCTAGGAGTCCACATGCTTGAGACCAGTGGCTTAAGAATATCGACCAAAACTCTAGCTCTGAGAAGGCTTCTAATGAGCATATCATTCCTCGTCGGATCCTCTACCATAATAGCATCTTCAATCATTGCTCCTAGAATCTTCTTATTCTCCACATCCATAATAGTAAGAGGCAGATCATGAAATTGGATCCAGAATGGACAGTAATTGAAATCCACTTTATTAAAGACCATGTGATCCTACTAAGGCTGAACATTCAATAGAACACCTTGTATTGACCAAGATCTACCTCTCAAGATTCAATCGTGTTCATCACTGCTACAAGATTTGAAAATAAATCCATTTCTATCTATGTCAATTATCTCTCTAAGTCCTTGTTCTTTAGAAGATTCTATCCCTTTTGAAATCATCTGAATCACCACCTACTTGTTCATGCTCTTCTTGGTAATTAGTTTTTTGGCTAGCGATTCTCCGTCTAGTCTCCTCTGCTCCTTCTTCTTCTAGATCAAATTCACCTCCAAACCACCTCTTGAGCCTCCTCCCTATCCTTTTGACCTGTCCTCCATCCTTCCAACCTCACCACTCTGAGCTATTGCAATGCATAATAGCATATAACACTCTTTATCTTCATCGCAGTGGATGATAGAGCACATAGGGCGCGATCGACAAGATAACTATCGTAATCAATTCCACCTTAGGTTAGTGCAACATATATTTTAATTTTAAGAGAGATCTATATAGGTTTTCAAATAATGAAGGTTTTGGCAATTTAAGTTAAATTGAGGAAAGCTTGATGCATTTTACTCACAATAATAATATAATTAAGAGTAATAATTAACATGGTGTGCAAGGGAAAATCATATTTGGATACTACCTCTATTGCTTTTTGTAGGAAACAATTAATGGAATTATGTTAATGAAAAAAAGGTAGTCAAAATTAATTAAAGACAATAAATATGTAAAAACTATAACTTTGTTCTCGAAAATAGTTTTATCTACAGGGAAGAGAGAATAAGAAAAATAATAAGAAAATTATTAAAATAAATAAGATTGTGAAAGAGAAAGAATGTGTGATAAAGAGAATGCTTCGAGCATTGTACGATAATAAATGTATCAATAATAATTAAATAAGATAGCAATAAAAAATTAATAAAAAAATTTGAGACATTTTCTAAATGTTTCTTATAAATAAGAAGAAGCATACTAGTAATATTAAATATTAGTATTTTACTTTGATTGTAGTTCAATAATTATAAAATAGACAATTAATATTAAAATATTATATTAAAACATTTCAAAAATTATAATTATTTTAAGGACTAATGTTAATATTTTACAATCTCGTGTCTCATAGAGTCTACCCACTTTTGTCAATTTTGGACTTTTGGGCAGAGGCACTTTTTAGTTGAAGGTGACACACAAATATATAACTATTGATTTAAATAATACTTTTCTCTTTCTAAATGTGGGCAGGCGTTAGTGAGTGAGTTGATTATGATTGTAAATATAATATCTTAATTTATTATATTTATTATTTTTCAAAACTAATTTATTTACTTAATTCAAAAAAAACTAATTTATTTAACTTACAATCTGATATACACCTCTGATCCTTAATGCAGAACTTAATTGGAAAGTTGATATCGGTCCTAAATGTAAGATCTATTTTATATGATTCTTAAATTAACCTTATGGATGGTCTCTCAACAATAATCAAGTAGGAGGGAGAGGACGAGAGTTAAAAAGATGTTTAGGGTGTTTTAGAAAAAACATATCACATTAAGTAATTTAACTAATATTCTTAATCTACTCAAATTAGTTGATTAGGTCTCACATTAAAGACTAGAGGAATATAATTTAGGGTTAAGGTGTATCTGGTACCTAAATTATTTTTCAGGTGCATCTAACACTTCAAAGTATTTTGTGGTGTATCCAGCACCCCAAAAGTATTTCTTAGGTGTGTCTAGCATCTTAAAATATTTTTTTTTTGGCCTTGGTACTGCAATCACCAAAAAATATTTTTGAGTGTTGGATGGGGTGTTGGATGTACAAAAAACTACTTCACAATACTAGACGCACATAAAAAAATACTTCAGAATATTGGATGCACAACAAAATACTCTAAGGTAAACTCTAAAAAAAATACTTTGAGGTGCTAGATGCACAAAAAAAAAATACTTCATGATGTTGGACGCACCTAAAAGAATATTTCAAGATGCTAGATGTATCACAAAATATTTTAGGATGTTGAATATATCTGAAAAATATTTTAAGGTGCTGGATACACCTTAACTCTTTAAATATTAGGTAAGAGTATTTTGAAGATGTTATGTCACATTTATTAAAATTAAGTAATTTATTTTTAGCCTCTCTAAATGAGTTAAATAGCTCTTAGCGTTACCTTATTCATAGTCTGAGTAAATCTAATCCAATCTGCCGTTAGGATTAATATGCTGCGCTATCATCATTGTTGAATACCCTTACTTTCAAAAATTTTAGGAGAAATTGGGAAAAACACCTAATAAGCAAATTAATTAGGGGAAAGGACTTAATTCAGAAACTGGAAGTTATTTTTCAGGATCAGCATGTGATATCTTTCATAATGTTATACCTTGTCTTTTTGTTTCCCCACTAGCACTTGATGGCTTAAGCCTATCTCTCAAACTGGAATGACCTGCCAATCTCCAGTTTAAGTGTGCCCGACGTCTCTAGCCCCCCAATTTATTCCGTTCTCAAGGAAGTTGATTTCAAGAATAATTATTTCATATAAGTTTTTATTTTTATTTTTTATCAAATAAAAAGGGTTTTGGAATAATCCTACATATATATATTTTTGCAAAACCTATTTCAAAAAGGACAAAGTGCTTAAATACGCCGAAATACGCCGGAAGTATACATAAAAAAGTACCTAGTACTTGAAATTTTTTTTTGGCTCTTATATATATTGAAAGTTTTATTTCATTACATTTTTGCCCTGAACCGTTATGTGCCGTTAAGTTGCACCTAGAATTTTTTTTTTTTGCTCTTATATGTTTTGAAAGATTATTTTCATAGCAAAAATATCCTGTCATTATACATCATTAAGTTTGACTATTAAAACATAAGTCAGATTGCATAATTTAATGGTTAAACTTAACGACGAATAACGACCAGGATATTTTTGCAACAAAAATAAACTTTCAACATATATAAGAGCAAAACAAAAAACTTTTAGGTGTTAAGTGCTCTTTCGTGGATATTTTTAGGATATTTAAACACCTAATTCCTTTTAAAAGAACAATTTCATAAAAGCTATTTTAAGGGGAAAAAACTTCAAAACAGAATCAAACAAGGCCTAAACTTTTTTCCAAAATTGTATTATTTCTTATTTTTTAATGATAAGTTTAACATGAATTTGTAAAATATAAACATTTATAAAAGGGAAAATTTATAAATTTTGATACTATTTATAAGCATATTTCTTAAATTTATATGTTGCATAAGACGTTACCGCTAAAATATATGATTATATTGTTTTCTTTTTTTTGCCAACTATATTGATTTTAATACTACTCAGGCCTAAGCTCATGATAATTGACATGAGTTATCCGTTCAAAAAAGACAATATTGACCATAATTAATGCATTTTGGGTTTATATAAAAAAAAAAAAAATTGACATGAGTTGAGTGGTTTTCGTCGGGTCTTGCGGCAATTGCCGTTTTTCCCCTCCTTTTTTCTCACCTGTTTTTTTCAATGGTTTTTTCCATTATAAAAAACAAAACCCAAAAAAAAAAAAAAACAAAAACAAGTTCCGCATTCATGATAGGCTCCATGAGCTTGCCGAAGCGTTCTCAAATTCTTCAGTCTCCAATCCATTCCCGCACCATTACAGAGTTCCCACGCTTTTCATTTTCTAGTTACATTCTCCCTCTAACCAAACAACCATATCTTTTTCTCTCCCTTCTTAGATCTTCCATTGAACCAAAACATGTCGTCTCTGCTTCTGTACCTTCTGCTCAACCTTCCTCTTCTACTCTTCCTCTCCCCCATTCTTGCTTCTCCATCAGAGCTTGACATTCTCATGGCCATCAAATACTCACTCGACCCACAGAACCGATTTCTGACCTCATGGACTCCACATGCCGACCCATGTAGCGGCGCTTTCGAAGGCGTAGCATGCAACGAGCAAGGCCACGTCGCCAATATTTCGCTCCAAGGAAAGGGTCTCTCCGGCAGCCTTCCGGCAGCCGTGGGTGAACTCAAGAACTTGACGGGTCTCTATCTGCACTTCAATGCTCTGAGTGGGACGATACCCAAGGAGATTGCGAATTTGAGTAGCCTAAACGATTTGTATCTCAACGTCAATAATCTCTACGGCGACATCCCTCGTGAGATTGGAAATATGTCTAATCTCCAAGGTTAGTTCAGATTTTTTGATTTTTTTCTTGAAGATTTGTAACTTTCGATGTTCTCTTCATCTCTAGTTGTGCTTGAGTTTCAGCATAAATTACCGTTTGAAAATTAGATTCCGCGGTAACAGTTTTTCATTTTATCTTCAGTAATTGCAAGGAGAAAGTATCAGTACACACATATGTTTTGCATATTTGACTTGGAAATTTGGAATCACTCAATACTCGGGAGTGTAAAATGCTGGTTTGCTTCTCGAGTACACTAGAGTTTTATCCAAAAACTTAAAAAAGTAAATTTGTTTTCTGACCCTATCTTCTTAATTTCGGAAAGGCATAACTGCCTGTTCTCTTCTAATCCCAAATCTTTATGCGCATAAAAAATTTATTATGTTAAAGAAAATGTCTCAATTAAAATTTCTCTGTCCATCCCTCACCTCTGTCCTTTTCATTCCAAATACCCGAGTTTAGATTTTCTCGCTCTGTCTTCGTAATTGATTTCATGGAGTTTGTTTGCTTGTTTTCTTGGCTCTGTCCTGTGGGCATGATTTCATAAGCATCTGCACTAATCCAGTCATTGTTTTGCACATATTTTTCTGGTTTATCTCAATAATTTTATTTTTATTTTTCATATAATTTAATTTATGATTCTTGGCAGTTTTGCAGCTTTGTTATAACAAATTTACTGGGAGTATTCCCACCGAATTGGGAAATCTGGAGAGACTTAATGTTTTTGCTCTGCAATATAATCAGTTGAGTGGTGCAATTCCTGCTAGTTTGGGTCAATTGCAGTCACTAACGAGGTTGGATCTGAGCTTTAATAACCTTTTTGGTCCTATTCCAGTGAGACTAGCTGACGCGCTCAAACTAGAAAGCCTTGATATTCAAAACAATTCTCTCTCAGGCAATGTCCCTGCAGGTAATAGCAGCTCCGAAATTTTTTGCTTCCCACTTTTTATTTGGGCAATTTTACTGACAGTTAGAACTCAGTTTTTGGTCTTCCGAAAAAAATTAGAACTTCTTGTTTTCTGTAATAGGTCATCATGTTTTATTTTCAACATCAAAGGGAGGATGTGTGCGTGTGCGTGTGTGTGTGGATATATATATTTATATATATGTCCACCCTCCATATCTCAAACTTGATAATTGCTTACAAAAATTTACTAAATTTGCGGATATATATGTGTGTGTGTGTGTGTGTGTGTGTGTGTGTGTGTGTGTGTGTGTGTGTGTGTGTGTGTGTGTGTGTGATGATGTTACTCGCAAAAATGATTTTTTTAAGATGACAAGGTCTCATTCAAGTTGAGCTAGCTAGAGAATGGCTCATGTCACAGATTAGAGCTGATGTTTACTTTAATTGTTATTTTCAGGTCATTTTTAATTTGAGCACTGAGCTTTCAATATTTTCAACTTAGCTTTTATGTTTTCTTTTTTAAAGTTTTTAATTTAATATTCATACTTCATCAAGGTTTCACATAAGCAGTGCAGGTCGATATTTATGTAATCTAAGCTTTCTCCCTTTTGCATCAATGCAGGTCTTAGAAGACTGCAAGGCGGTTTCCGGTACATCAACAACCCTGGCTTATGTGGGATTGAATTTACCAATTTAGTTGCTTGTAAATCTTTATTTGACCCTAGTAAGCCTGAACCATTTGAACCTGATAACTTTTCCACAAAGGGTCTTCCAGCATCAGTTGAACCAAAGGATGAAAAGTGCAGTGACGAAAGCCACTGTAAAAATTCATGGCAATATTCAAAAATGGCTTTGGTTTTTGGAGTGATCGGAATTATTGTTGCTTCCACAGTTTCTGGACTTTCCATGTTTGTGTGGTACCGTCGTCAGAAACAGAAAATCGGAGGCACTATTGATGCTTCTGATAGGCACATTAGCAGGAAAAATGCAGCTCCTTTGATCAGTTTAGAATATTCTAATGGATGGGATCCATTAGCCAAAGGTAGAAATACTTATTCCCAGGAAATTCTAGAGAGCTTTATGTTCAACCTAGAGGAGGTAGAACGTGCCACTCAGTGCTTCTCTGAGGTGAATTTGTTAGGGAAGAATAATTTGTCAGGAATTTACAGGGGAATTTTGAGAGATGGTTCAGTCGTGGTTGTAAAATGCATCAACAACACAAGCTGCAAGTCTGATGAAACTGAGTTCTTGAAGGGATTGAAGATATTGACCTCATTAAAACATGAAAATCTCGTTCGCTTGAGAGGGTTTTGCTGTTCTAAAGGCAGGGGAGAGTGCTTTCTTGTTTATGATTTTGCCCCAAATGGGAGTTTGTCTCAGTATTTGGATCTCAAGAAAGGTGATACTAAGATTCTGGAATGGTCTACCAGAGTATCCATCATCCATGGTATTGCTAGAGGTCAGTTCTTTTTCGTCTTGTTTCTTGATAGGCATATTTAGTTAGATGCCCTGAAGTTACAACATGGTGATTGAGTTTTCCTTTTGTCTCTTGTGCTATTGAGTTTACTCATTATTCCTTCCAAGGGAGGAGAAAACAATGCCTTAGAGGCTTTGAATTGGCTTGGGTTCACTTCTGGGGAATAAATTCTTAAATTCAATAAAAATTATTTTCAGAATATTCTGAGGGAAAACGATGGCTAAATTACAAGAAATCAATTCATATATTTGGATCCTTGTATGCACGAGTTTCTAATTATGTAATAAGATTACCTGTTGCCTTCCATGCTCACAGGTCAATAATCTTAACCCCGGTCCTTTCGTTTTCTTGACCTCTAAGGCTAACTGCCAGTAAGAAACATTTTGTTATGTTGTGATCTGAGAATTGGCAATAATTGGATTTGGTTTCATTATATAAAAGCTATAAGGTTTTTTATTGTTGACTGCCAAGGCTAAGCCTATATTTGCCCAAAAATCCTATATCCTTTCGCGACATCCTTAAATCTAGCCCTTAAGAAAGATTTAACCAAAGTGGTTGTCATAGCTAGCCTGGCCGTCATGCAAGTATACTTCTCTATGCCATAGCATTGTCCCAGAGTTCAGTTTAGAATATGACATCTATTTTTCTTTTGTGCCCAGGTATTAGTTATCTGCATGGAAAGAGAGGAAGAAAACAGGCTCTAGTTCACCAGAATATATCAGCTGGAAACGTGCTTCTTGATGCACATTACAATTCATTACTCGCAGATTCAGGATTGCTCAAGCTCCTTGCTGACGATGTTGTCTTCTCCACCCTTAAAGCTTCTGCTGCCATGGGATACCTTGCTCCAGAATACACCACAACCGGTTGTGTAACCCTAAAGAGTGATATATATGCTTTCGGGGTGCTAGTTTTCCAGCTTCTTACAGGAAAAAGCGATGTTACTCAGTTATATCATTACCGGGCAGAAGCATCTGGTTATAATGATATGGTTGATGTAAACCTTGAAGGGAGATTCTCAGAATCAGAGGCAGCTAAACTGGGGAACATTGCTCTACTTTGCACACATGAATCGCCCCATGAACGACCATCTATGGACCATGTAATGCAAGAACTATCTGAGAAGTGAAAACACTGACGGTTCACCACATTAAGAATGAAAATCTTGCCTCGTCTTTGAAGTAGAAGATTAGATGGAACGAATGTAAAATATTATCTGTAATATCATATCCTGTGATGTAAAGTTTTCCAAAATATCTGTATAACTGTAGAACATAAAGTGTTCAAAGGAAACCCCTTTCCTGTAAAATGGATGCTTGCTTTTTGGGTTCCTGATATGAATTGTGATATATCGAATGTCTAAGCTGTTCTGTAAATGAGTTCTTCTTGTAAGCCCTGAAATGTGTTCACTTTATTTTTTTTGACAATCACATATTCACGTCTGTTTTGGCTCTGTTTTAGCCAAAACAGACGTGAATACTTACGATATTCATGTCTGGTTAGAACAAACGTGAATATGACTCATTTTCTCATCTATTCAACGTAGACATGATATGTCCCACACTTACTGCGTCTCTTCTTTTAATGTCTCCCTTGAAACAAACGTGAAAAGCTCTCTAAAACAGAGATAAAAAGTGTCGTTGTAGTAGTGAGATACCTGGTGGTCGATTTTGAAACCATATATACGTATAGAACAAGGTAAAAATTACATGGGAAGGAGTTCTTCCCAACAGTGAGGTAAAGAAGAAAAAAGTGAAGCCAAGTAGTGAGAGAAAAGGTGAAGATGAAGCCATATTGGGTGGTTCAGACAGAGACAGAGGGGCCTTTGTTGTTCATATGGAAGCATCCCCCCCCACCCCCACCCCCACCAATAGGAAACATTCATTTGTGGAGATCTTAGTTAGGGATGAGATTGATCCATTTTCATTATATTAGAGGCAAAGTTGTATCATAAAACATTTTAAAGTGTTAGATGTATATGAGAAAATATTTTGAGATACTAGATGTACTGTAATATAACCCACTCCTATTTTGATTTTATTCACAAAAAATCAAGCATTTTATTAATTAACTAGATGGTGATTGTCGCGTCTGAATCCTAGTCATGCCATAAAAGGGAAAGAAAGAGGAGTCGCTACCAAAATTTTAAAAGGATAATTTTGGAAACCTAAAAATATATGGTCTGTGAAAACTGGATGGGATTTGGAAGCCAATTGTGTGTAGAGAAGGTGTTAAGCACCCCACAACACCCGTTTAGGAGAATAGTTACCCTAAGCCAACTACTCAAAATTAATATAGGTTTTTTAATTATGCTTTAATTACCCTAAAAAAAAAAGAAAAAAATTATTTACAAAAACAAAAAAAAATTATTTATAAAGTTGGACTTGACCTAGGATAAGAACTTAAGGCCTATGTACCTTTTAGAGGGATCAAAGCCCACGTAGTTCAAGGGTAAAAATGCGTGTCACTTGGTTGGTATTGTTAGAAAATATTTATTCAATTAAAAAAAGTGTTTTTGGTGGGCTTGTATTTTTTTAATATAGAAAACAAGTTTTTTTTATTTTAAAAGTATTTTTAAAAGAAATTTTGGATTACCCTCCCTGTGAAGGTTTCCATAACCTCACACAGGAGAATAATCGTTCAAGCCTGCGGAGATTCTAAAAAACCTCACACGGCTCTAAAAAAACATTTTGTGATTACTTGTACATAAAAAAAATTCTATTCTATTATTTATTTATAAAGATGGTGTCAAACTTATTTTCTTTCTTTTTTATTTCAAAAAGAAAATTTGCACAACCATATTGGTATTCCTACGGAGACTCCCATAGTCTCACACGATTTACTAATGAATCTAAATACCTGCGGAGGTTCTAAAAACTTCACACAGTAAAGATTTTAAAAAGAGAAACACTTTTGGAAACAAAAAGAAAGAACACCAAAAAGATAAGTAAACATAAAACTTAAGTTAAGTATAATAGATGGGAATAAAAATTCATACTTGATGCTTACTTATCAATTGGTTAAAAAATACATTGTATAATAAGTCAATAAATAAAAACTATATACACATATTGGTAAAAAGGCATGAACCAAAAATAGAATAAATGAAATAAAATGAAAATTAAAAAAAGAAGGAAGTGGATATTGAAATGAGTACATGTGGGGATAAATAGATAAAGGCATATTTTGAATAAATCCAAAAAGAAAAGGGAGTAGTGAAGATTAACTAAAATCATGTTAGATCCAATCCTCTAGCCATTACTGCTCCAACTTGTAATTGTGATATCAATCACAAGAGTATAGGCTTTCCTTGAATAGAAGGAAGAAGAAGATGGAAAAAAAGATTTTTCTTTAGTTAGGCCTTCTCTCTTTTTTCCCAAAACAAGTTATTGCAATGAAATAAGATGATAGAAGATTTCTCTACCTTGCCTCCTTTCTTCACTGAGAAATTCTAACTGCCTTCCTCTAACCTTTAATCTCCTATTTATAGGCTTCAACTAGGGTTTTCCAATTTTCTTTATTTTCCTTAGTTATGACTCATAAAGTAACTTTTTATTTAAGCACCGAATCATCATTAAATTGTGTTTTTCATTTTAGTTTTCGTTTTTTAAAATTTTCACAATTATGACGCCAAAAGATATTTCTAAATTGAGGACTCAATCATTTTAAATGAGAAATTTTTATTTTTATTTTCTGATTTTTCTTATTTTCCTCCTTAATGTGTCCACCTCACATTTCCCAAATTGACTTTTAATTCTTATATTTTATTTTATTACCATCTATTGTAAGATGGATATTCTTATTTAATTCTCCTTTTTGATTTGTCACATGGTAGACTTCTTAAACTTATCCTCCAAGAAAGAATCAAGGAGGATATCAATATTTTTATTTTTTTTTTTTTTCTTTTTTCTTTAATTTCATTTACATTTAATATTTTTTTATAGGGTCCAGACAAAATTGAGTGTTCACAGTGATGTTTATATGTTCTCCAAGTTAAAACATGTTTAAAAGGAAAACTCATGTCTTTTGGTAAAGTAACTAAAACTGATTTGGGTGGTTTTTCTCCTACAAATGAAGCTAAAATGAGTTTAGGTGATGTTTGGCCTTTATTGAGAAATGAGAGGACGACATGAAAGACATAGAAAAATTTCAAAAAAAAAAAAACTTAAATTTTAAAATATTAAATTTGAAATTCTTACAAAAATAGGTTATCATTTGCTTTTCAAGTGGAGTCAGTTATTATTAAAGTGTAAGAAACAAGATTTATTTGGGATTTTGAAATTTAAGTGGTATTTTTTTTCTTAATTTTTCCAAAAACATAATTTTTGAGCTGAAAATGTACGGGATGAATGCTAAGTGATTTTTTTTCTTTTCAAAAAAAGGAAAGATATGGAGTCAAATTTACTAAATGACGTGTATACCCCATCCTAAAATTAGTGGCGGATTCAGAAAAATAAGTTTGAGGAACCAAAGAATAATTTGTGTAAAATATAAATATTATTTCTTAAAAATATAATTATAAATACATTGTATGGTGATGTTTACACTTTCCCCAAGTTAAAACACGTTTAAAAGGAAAACTGAGATCTTTCACTGAAGTAGTAATGATGACTGAGTGGATTTTCTCCTATAAATGAGTTTAAAGTGAACCGCTGGTGGCGATGCGGGGATTTTAGGCGATGTTTGGTAAGATGTGGGTCCTTTATTGAGACCTCTGCTTGCTATTGAACACCACTCAACTGGTAGCTGGAGTTTTGATGATGGTGGCCGAACCTCCAGTAGCAATAACTTGATTGCAAAAGTTTTGTTATAATTAACTAACAAGAACTTGTACGTTGTTAATTGTACTTACTAATTTATAAAGTATATCTTGTGATTGAATAGCAACAAAAATCTGTTAAAGAATTGTAAATGTTTTCTTGTAAATAGCTAATGGGAAATTCTAAATTGTTAAATTGAACTTATTAATTTATAAGCTGGTCTTGTAATTGAAATAAGAAGCTCAATTCAACAATTCACAAGTCGTCGTCAGTTTTCTCACTGAAACGGCACCATTTAATAAACCTTTATTATTATTACTTAATCAAAACCATTTTTGAAATATCTACCTAATTTGGGATTATCCAATTTCTAGTGACTTTAAATGGATTTTCTCTTTACTGTATGGTAGTGAAATTACTAATAGGAGCAAAGGAAAATTTTTCATGAAGGCCGGATGGAATCATAGATGAGTGAGGTGAGAATCGAATTTTTAGGAATATTTTATGCAATTTTCACTCTCTAGGGGGTATATACAGACTGTTCTCAAGAATGCATCCACAAGCCCAGGACAAAAACAATAATTAGTCTCAGTCGGCGCTGGGACGGAGGGACGTTGAAGCACTCGCCAGCTTCACTCGAATGCTTCTTTCATCGATCTTTGGTTTTTCACTCTGGCGGCAAATTGCGGGCATATCAAAATCAATATGTTCTTTTAGTTTTTAGAATTAAAATATTTTTAAGTATGACCTTTTCCTTGAATGCTTTTGAAAAATTCTAAAATTTTTATATCATTATATAAGATAGAAAGAAAATATTCTCTTTTTTGTTATAGAAGTTAATACATAATTTAATTTTTAACATAAATATTTTATTTTATCTTTCACTTATTATTGTGTAAAATTTCTTAAAAAATGTATATGATAAATAAGAGTAAAATTTAATAGTAAGATAGAGTTAGTAAATGTTTTTTACTTTCAGTAGAATAAGTTAGAAGTGACTAATGCTGATTCAAAAGGTTAGAATTGTCTAATAAATAATGCGAATAAGACGCGAACTAAAATTTGGCTCCTCCACATGTTCATTGCAGGCTGCGTCATCGGTCGGCAATGTCTGCATGGAATTATGGATCATGCCATGACAAGAATCTCCATACGGCTCCGCAGGGATATGATTACACTTTTAATTTTTTGGAGTACAAGTGACAAGCCGAAGCGTGGATAAATAGAAAAGTACTAGAAGAAGCCGAATACATATAAATATATATTATTACCAATATATACATTTTGAACTTTCCTATGTTTTCATAAAATTAGCAGCATTGATTAATAATTTAACTACTTTGGATAAAGCGTGAGAATTAGTTAAATTAGTTATTTATAACAAATATAAGTTGATTTCTCTAAAATATCAATTTTAGCCATGATTATTCTCGGATAGAAATCCTTATACAATGTGTAATAATAAGGATGTTTTGGAAAATAAATTATAAATATGGAATATAAAGTTAATGAAAATCTTATATTTAGAAACAAATTTAATTATTAACTAACTTTGATATCAAGAACTAGAAATAATAATACAGAAGTCTATATTTATAAATCAACTATCACCTAAACAAGAAGCATCGATTCTGTGGTAACTTAACTAATATGTATAGGTAACAAATAATTCTTTTTCCATCTTCCTTTCTTAAAACCCATTTTAATGCATTCATATGCAGAACATGGCTTTATAACGTCAAAATGTGAGTAATATATTAACTTGTTTATTTACAAAACTGATCACGTAGACTAATCATTTTACACGCTATCAGATGGAATGAAATATAATGGAGAGAAAGAATAAAATAAAGGAAGTGATTTTATAAACATGAAATGTCTCCTTAGCCCCTGAATAAACATAAATAATTACAAAATTATTGCTCCGTAAAGATAAAATTTCGGAGCAATAAAGATAAAATTTCATTACCCCGGGCCGATTGGCCTAGTGGTATGGGTGTGTGTGTGATGTGTGTATACGGGTTCGATCCCGCCCCATGTAACCCAAAAAAAAAGAAAGATAAAATTTCATTTAATCTCTGTCAAAGAAATCAAATGGGCCCTAACTAGAAATGGGAAGTCATTTCAAAGTTGATTAAGGGCCAATGAGCACCAAAATTTGAATCCTATAAATCTAATCTAAATAGTTTAAATTTATTTTTTTTAATTTTATTTTTCTAAACAATATATTTTAATGTGTACAAAACTTAAAGAGATAATCTTTTGACCGCTGTATTTGGACTGTGCATATCTCACCGCAATAACGAAGCACCGTAAACATGAAAACTGGTTAAAAAAATGGAACCAACATATTTTAATGTCAGAAGCATCTAAATGTAAACATAAGTTTGAAGCTTTTCTCGTATCATTTCTCCAACGAACAAGAAGAGTTTCTAACGAGTAATTATTTGATCAGTCTGCAAATAGAAAAGAACATTCAATGCAGAAATAAAGACTTGAAAAAATTAAGTATGCCAACATTTTCCTGAATTGATTATTTTGTTAAGAACATTCTATGATCTTTCATGCTCATTTACTTACTCTTTTGAGAGAGAAATTATGTGTATAAACATCGATTGTTGAGATAAAGTTATTACCTTACAAGAAGTAGATGGGAGTGTTTCTTAAGTACTGTTAAACTTGAATTTGTAAGCATCGGTTCTCAAAGTACTACTATAAAACTTGAGAAATTGTACCAAGGCATAAGAGCTCACTGAATCTTAAAAATAAAGTGAAACTTTTAGGAGATGTCCGAGGACCAGACGTAGGTCTGTTTGGATCGAACCTCTATAAATATTGTATATTAATTTCTTTTATTTCTCAATCTCTAAATTTATCTTTGTGATTTAAGTTAATCTCTGTTTAAAATTTTATTATCATTCAATTCACTCCTCTCTTGGCTGATTTCCTTGCTCCTCCTCTACAAAAAGCATCAATTATTTGGTAAATTCAACAATATAGATAGCTAGGTAGGGATTCTTTTTCCATCTTCCTCCCTTAGAACCCCATTTTATTGCATTTATACAAAACTGGTTGCCTACTCTAATTAATTATATTACACTCCCTGATATAAAAAAATTAATTATGTCACACGCTATTAAATTGTATGGGGGGGTGAAGAATAAAATGAAAAAGTGATTTTTACCAAACATGAAATATCTCCTTAGCCCTCGAATAAAATAAATAAATAAATAATTACAAAATTATTGTTACTTGAAAATAAAGTATCATTTCATCCCTGTCAAAGAAGCCAAATGGGCCCCGACAAGAAATGGCAAGTTATTTATGTGCTCATCAGCGGTGATAATGATTGAGGAGCCCCGAAATCTCAACAGTCTAAATCTAACCATAATGGCTCTGTTTTTTTTTTTGGGGTTGTCTTAAAAAATATTTTAATGTATATGAAATGTTGTTTGTCATCACGTTTGAAATAACTTATAAACATGTTTTACATAAATTAAGATAAAACTTCTCTTACATATTTATTTTATACATCGTAAATCATGATTGAAAAGCTGTTTATAAGTTGTTTCACACGGGTTTAAAATCTAAAGAGATAATCCCTCAGTCATATATGAATGATACATATCTCGCCATAACTACTCTTTCTGATCCTATTTATAAGCTTTAAATTTAGAAAGAGATGTGATCTATTTTATAAGCTTCAATATAGGTTTGTCTTAACACATAATGCGTTTTTTTCTTCTCAAATTTACTTTTAATTATTTATTCTCCTTCTTTTTTCACACATTCTTTCATTTTATTTCTTCAAACATTTTCTTTTATCTTTTTTCTCATTTATTATAATGACATATTTAAAAATAAAAATATATTTTGACCTATTTATTACTTTTAACTAATTTTAACTTATTTTTTATTATAAATAACTTAGTTATTTGAAGTTTATAAAATTAAACCAGTATATTAAAATTTTGCATTTTAATTCCCGGATTACTATTCATTTGCTAATTTCAGATTTTTGGTCCAACTTTAAAAATTTATAACTAATTATAGAAAAATTATATTGAGGTGATTCAAGCCTCCATTTAAAGCCATTTCAATTTTCTATAAGAAAAAAAAATACTCATCTGGTCATTTACTTACTCTTTTAATACAAAAAAATGCGTGAAATAGTACTGTTTATATGATCAAAACTGTACTTTATGGTTTTTCTGCTCTAATTTTAAGCAATCATAACTTCTAATGCACATATTCATCTTAAATAATCTACTTCTCATTTTAAAACTTGGGGTGTATACTATTTACTCATAAAATTTCATGGGTAGAATCGTTCATTTGTCTTACTTTTGCTTTGTCTCAATTTCGTTGCTCATGAAGAAAATATTTATCTCTTTACTTGCATTAACATGCTATAACATTCTTTATTTTGCATATGATCATTCCATTATTTATAAATCATTCCCATGCATTTGACATACTCAATTTAACATGCCAACGTCATCATTCATCATTACATATTATTAATAGGCATGTGCATACAATCATCTTATACAAAGAGTTATTACATAATATAATAACGTGTACATGTACATTCTTTCAATTCTCCTCGTCAATCTTCTTGCTGATTGATCTTTATATTATGATTGACTAAGGGAGGATGAGATTTAGGTAAATCTCAATAGTGAGGAACAATAATAATAATGCCAACAATGCAAGGCTATTACACAACATACATTAACTATCATGCTATATGAAGGGAGCATATATTCATACCATAAAGAAAACTCATTCAGTATATTGCCAAGATATCAAATGCAAAGAGTTTAGCACATATCATTATTATCATCAATAGCTCAATCACATTATGGCATAGGACACATAACAAACAATCAATACAAGTTAACATTAAAATTAAATGTTCTTGCTACTTTGCCGTATATATTGGTATACACAAAGTATGTGCTTTATGTATATAATGGCTTTGTTCTTTTTGTAGTTTAAAGAAATTGTCAAGAAATCTCTTAAGGATTTAATTGTTGTGATTAGTGCTTGATTTGGATTTAATTTTGATAGAGTTTGATAACTAAAACTTTAGAAAAACATACTACCCGAAATGGTATAACAATTAATATTAATGATTTGAAGTTGTACTAAAAATTTGAAATTATTAAATAAATAGTAATCTGAGGATTAAAATATAAAATTTTAATATACATACTTAATTCATGAAATGTAACGCAGATGGTAGTGAGTATAGATGCCTAGGGAGAAATGAAACCAACGTGTTTTAAATTTTAAAGCTGGTTTTCATTATATTCGTACGTATGCTGTGGCAGAATCCAGTGGCCGATATGAATACGTACAAAACGGTAATCAGTCTCAATCGGCATCGGCTAGCTCCAAAGCCCATACCTTGACACGATAATGCACACTCAGCAGAAAACAAATACTACTCTCAATTTTATTTATAAAACCTCATTTATAATATTTAAATAAGATCTTATAATTAAGATCGGAGATAGTATAATTAACGGGAGTAAAAACTTTGGTCCCAAAAATAAGTTTAATATTATAGCTTTTCAATATGTGCGTGTATGTATGTATATATCTATATATATATATTTGGGCTCCTTCCTTGTATTAGGAAGGAAAATAATTAAGCGTGCGTGCGTCCGTCCACAAGATGTTGCCATACGAGACGCTTGAAGAAGCAGAGGAAGCGATAGGGAGAGGGCTGAGTTTTGCACAGAGGCTGTGGTTTAAATACTCAGCCAACAAATCGGATTTCCTTCTTCACTGCCATAACATTGTGTTTCTGTGCTTCTTTTACTCTGTGGCTTCTCTTCCTTATGTCTTCATTGGCCTCTGCAACAGCAAGAGGATTCAGAACTACAAGGTTCAGCATAAGGTGAGCCATACTTTCTGGGAAATGTTTCGGTGTTACAAGAATGTCATGCACACTTTCATCCTCGCCGTTGGTCCTCTTCAGATCGTTTCTTTCCCCACCATCAAGGTGAGACGATGTTTATTTATTTCTTTTTCTTCTCCTTGCCGTTGGCAGTTTGAATTTTTACATTTCTTTTTTGGCCTTATCATGGAGGCTTTTAGGAGAATCAAAATGCGAAGTAGAAAAGGTTTTCTAATTGCATGTTTGAAAAGTTTGTGTTAAGAAAATTCGAACCAGTTAAATTAATTGAAGAAGATATATATGATCTAGATCAACATCTCCTCTACTTCTTGGCCTGATCTAGCTGAAGACCAAAGGATATCACAAGTTAAATCCAAAATTGCCAAAAATGAGTTTTTTTTTTGTACTGATTATATTGGCAATAATTTGGCGAAAAAGGGATTGTTTCTAACCAACTCGAAAAGCAATGAGGATGAAGTTGCTGTGGAGCGGGTAAAACATACCGGATCCTCTAACTATCCCACTTACTCTTTTTTTCAGGGAGAATTGTAACGAAATCTCAAAAAAAAAAAAAACACTTAATAAGTCCTAATGATAAGTCAATTATTTATTACTTTAAAACTTGTCTTTGTAAGCTGTACTGTTATAAAATTTTTTAGTAATTATGCTATTTACTTATGGCTTCATAGCAACTTTCTCCTTTTCCTATCTGAATCTCCATAATTAAAATCCAAAAGTAAATTACTTAAATTTAGCATTTTGAAAAATTATTATTGAATATTTTATAAATTATAATCTTTCAAATTTTTCTACACTACAGTTGTAAATTGTTTAGATTTTAACAGTTTCAGTTTATACATTTTTATTTTTATAAAATATTTTAATAATAATTTTTTTAAAAATTTTAATGAGAACCATTCAATTTTTTTTAATTTAATAGTAAAAACGAGATTCTAGGGTAGAATATAAAAGAGAGTGAGATAATGAGAGGACATGGGTGCGGCACGAATGATGTATATTTCTTAGGATGGGATAAATTTTATAATTCTAATTTGATTTAATTTCCAACTTTGATAGCACAAATTTCTAAAAATTCCTTTATTTCTAGTTCATTAATGAATACTATAAATTATTTCTCTTATTTTATTTATAAGCCATTTTAAACATGTTTTATACATATTAAGAAAAACTTTAAATTGTATTAATTTTCATTTAAAATTCAATAACTTTTTAACTTTGTCTCTATTTAATATATATTATTCTTCATATAAAAAAAGTCAATACAATAATAAATAAAAGGTAAAATTGTACATCTATATAAAAAAATTTCTTAATATCCTATAAATAAAACCAAAAGAAGCCTCGTCTTTTTATCTTATAAATAGGATTAAAAGAATAATTTTCAACAGGAAAAGTCGATAAAATTATTCCACGCATAAAAACCAAGTGCTTCCAATTTATTAGCGTTAACGTCCAATCCAATCCAGTCATTATTGTACTAAAACTGCTGCAAGCACTTATTGTACGAAAACTGATGTTTGATTTTTCTTTAGCTGCTGGGAATACGGACGGACCTCTTATTGCCCTCTGGACAGGAATTATTCTTGCAATTATCGGTTTATTTTATCATAGAAGATTTCGCAAATTACTGGATCCATCGGATCCTCCATAGTCGATGGGCCTACCAGAAGATCCACAAGGTCCACCATGAATACAAAGCGCCAATTGGGCTTGCAGCCCCATATGCCCATTGGGCCGAGATTTTGATTTTGGGCTTTCCCTCCTTTCTCGGCCCATCTTTGGTTCCCTGTCATATTACTACGTATTGGTTCTGGTTCGTTTTGCGACAACTGGAAGCCATTGAGACTCACAGCGGGTAATTATTTCCCATTTTATAGTATATTACCACGTTAACTGAACTTATTTGTTTTTAGGTAAAATTACTTTGTGATTAAAAAAAGAATGTAATTATTAAAAAGTCCCATAATAAGTAAATAATAAGTTGGAGGAAATGACAATGAATCCTGTTCCCTTGTTTTAAAAGAATAAAAATAAAAATTTGTATTTACTGCCCCATGAAAAATCATTATAAAGTTTCTTTCCATTGTTCTTAAGACCAATACTAGTTGGTATATTGCAGCAAATTATTACCAAATGGCAGATAGTATTTACAAAAATTGTCATGACACTTTGTTTGTTTAACCCAAAAAAAGAAAAGAAGAAAAAACTACAATATGTTTTCTGGCCACATGATCCCGAAATATTTTGAACTATGAAGGTTATATATTTCGAAATTATATTCATATATCATTAATATTTTTAATTTATCGTTTCAAAATGCAAATTTTCTATATCATTTTGTTGTTGTTGAATGCTTTATATATTTTGGGGTGACATGCAGTTATGACTTCCCATGGAGTCCCACAAAATACGTACCATTTTATGGAGGCGCTGCTTACCATGACTACCATCACTTCGTTGGTGAAAGTTGTCAGTGCAACTTTGCCTCCGTATTCACCTATTGTGATCTGATTTATGGCTCCCACAAGGTACGAGTATTTCATTTTACATATCACTTCTTTAATTACTTATCAACTTATTCATTATATATTTTGACAAAGTATAATGCTTATATCAAGTTTATTGTATCTATAATGTTAAGTTTTCTAATTACATGTAGCGATGTGTTCAATTTTTTTTATTTAAGTTTATAATTAAATGATAATATTTTTAAAAAACATGACACATATAACCAGTGTGGTTGAAGAACTTGACGTAATGGATGTAAAGAACTTAAGATAAGTATTTTCTTTTTAACAAATCATAGACAAAAAATCAATTCATGCAAATCACATGCTAACTATTACACACACCCACGTACTTAGGCACGAAAAGTTTCACATGTTTTCTAGATTCATAGTATTTGCTCCCTCAATTCTAAATATAGGAGCTGGATAATTAATTCATATAGACTAAAAAATTATTTGTAAGAAACGTATTATTAGTCCTTTAAACATTTGCATTGAAACTACTATCCTTTGATAGAAAACCCTTTTAATAAGTGCAATAGATAGAAAGAATTTTGAAAAAAGAATTATAACTTTAGAAGACAAAGGTAAATTGAGATTTTATATTTAAAATCAAATCAAATTCTTCCATAAGCTCTTATACTTAAAAATAGAGGGATAGAGGGAGTATGATAAAACTCACTTATCTCGTTTGCCAAGTAAAATTATTTAGTTGGTATCACATATTATCTCCGATTCTTAATATGAGACTTCGTTTGACTTTTATTTTAGTCCTAAATATAATACCCCAATTCGCTTTGTCTCTCATATTTATATATTTTTTCCTAAAGTGATCCTTCTAATAATGGTAGTTTTAACCAATATACTTGATTAGTAAGGATATTTTAGAAAAGACAACACATATTTATTACAAATAACTAACTTAACTTATTCTTTTAATCTCTTCAAATTAGTCAATTAGCTCTTATAATTAGGATCGGAGGTAGTACTTCACAACTTCCAATTTCATTGCCGAGGATTTCTTTCGTAGGCAATTTATAAAGGCATCTAAACGCTTCTCTTTCTCTCTCTAACTGCGCTACTTCAAAAAATTGCTGATATATATATATATATATATATATTTATATAAATGTGTCATGCAGGGGTACCAATACAAGACGAAACTGCAAAAGGAGGCATCTATGAATCAACAAAACCACTAAAACCAGTAGCTGTTATCTGCAAATTACATGAATCATTGATTGTTGAGAAGGCATGTTTCATATAACAAGGCTTGATCTGGTCAATAGTATGAATTATGATGCATATTGTATTGTGAATCTTTGTTGTCATGCCTTTTCATGCATGTAGAGAATGTTCGATTATTGTAGTTATAAGTAATAATATTATTAGATAAATAATATATATATATATATATATTCTATTTCTGGCCGTGATCTTTTGGTCGGTTGAACTTGAAGGAGTGTAGGAGGAATTAATCTTTGATTTGTGCAATCAATCACTTCTCAATCAAACAGTGAATCTTGAGGTCCTTTGCCTCAATTTCCCCGTTTGCATGTCCTCTTAGTGGTCATAGTAAAGAAAATGAAGAGCAAGAAGATATAGTGATGAAGAGAAATTGAAGATCCGTAGATTAGGGTGTGGATACGATGTAGTTAATATTATAATGAAAATACAAAAAACTCATCTAACCCCATTCAAGTTTATCTCAAGTCAAGTTCATGTGTCTGCCTATTTGCATTGAACTCTTCCATATTAAGTCGAAATCTGTGTTGTATTGTTGGTTTTTCCTTTCACCTCAGGTATCAGACTTTGGGGTTCACACCAACTAAAAGTAATATCATTTCGACTCGAGTCATTTGACTTTGGTTCAGTTGCAAAGTACTTAAACATCAAGTTAATCCAAAGTCAACTCGAGTTACAGAGCTTATCTTTATATATTCCTCTAACCTTAAATATAAGACACATTTTGTAGTGTAATTTATACTATAAAAGGGATCTTATATTTAGAACTAGAGAAGTATGTTCTATGTAACTTGAGTTAGATATTTCTAACCTCAATTTAACTCTTCATAGAGTTCATCTACCAAGCCTTAACTCCAGGTTATACTCTATCAACTTAAGTCATGCCTTCATTACTCGGCTTGTTACTATTTCGGCCTGTTACTTTACCATGTCTTCATTACCCTTGTTACTGCATGATCAGGGGTTGGGGTATTTACTCGTCTAAAATTGCTCATTGTCATCGGTCTGGTAGATCTTGGCTACAAATCTCGTTGTTCTTTCAAGGAGAAGTGGTTAGAGATTTTATCACTTTTTAAGGAACTGGGACAAAAGGTCTTTTGTTTTACATCATCTTCGCAAGGCTTTATTGTTCATTGTAAATCAGCAAGTTATTGCTCACCCTTTGAACTATCCGGTCAGTGTTTGAGGGAGTAATCTGAGAATGCTTGGCATTTTGCGGGACAAGAATGTAATGGATAGTAAGGTTTCGGTTGGCTGGGAAGTTTGTTATAGGTTATTATCTCCTTTTGTTGCTACTTCTTTGTAGTTAGACTCATAAGCTTACCCCTTTGCAGCTTGCACAAATCTAGATATTCCTTTTATTATTGTAAATAGAAACTAATATGCCTCCGGTCATTTGGCATGTTCTTGAATCCTAAAATCTCATTAAACAGCTTGAGAAGCTACATGTTACATGCCCGCTTTGCCTAGATACTTTCAAACTTCAATAGGACACTGCCTAAGTCCAATAATTTTGCTATTTTTCATTTTCTTCGGAGCTTATCTGACCTTGTCAAGACAGAACTTACAATAGAATGCCAAATTTTGTTCACGTTCTCTAGTCGTCAGATCTTCTAACTCACTAGCCGAACCCCCTCTTTCATCATTGAACAACCTGTAGAAGTTATTTTGTATTGCTAAATGGTCCAACGAGCAGCGGAGCACTCCAAGTGGATGTTACCTTTGTAATAAAATTAAGGGTTCAAATTCATCTACCATTAGGCGTCTAATATTCTAAAATATTTTGCAATTCAAGTTCAACAGCAATTTTGTCTCTAAAATTTTTTTTAGAAGCAATTTTAACCTCATTGTTAACTCTCTAAAAAATCCATTAGGTGACAGTTTATCCAATATTTTTTTTATCAGAAGTCTATCCAATACTTAAATAAAGTTTTTTTTTAAGTAACGCTCAACACAGTAATTTTCTTTTTTATGCATTTTATGACTGAGTTTTTTTTAACACTTTTTTCATAATTTTAGTACTCATCTTTTAAATTTTTAGTAATTATCTTTAATATTTCCAATAATCATCTTAAATATTTTCTATACTTATCTTCCATATTTTCAATTCTAATATTTAATCATTTTCAGCACCAAGTAAAATTGAAGTAAAAACTTTTCAATTTTCCAATAGTCATCTTTCTTGATATTAGTATTGAATGTAATTCCAAATTACAATTGAGAAAATAGAGAATAAATCTAGCAAATACTTAAGATGAATACTAGAAGAATAAAAAATATGGTTATTAAAAATGTTAAAAATAAATACTAAAAAGATAGAAGATGAATACTAAAAATATGAAAAAGCAAGTTAAAAAAAAAATTAACTCAAAAAAAAATACTTTAATAGAAAATGGCACAAAAATTACTTTAGGACGTTAAATACTACACAAAAGATACCTTAGAGTATTAAATACACACTTAATGGACTTTTTACAGAGTTAATAGCAAAGATTAAAATTGCTCTTGGAAAAATATTTTAAAGATAAAATTGCTCTTAAAAAAATACTTTAAGGACAAAATTATATTATAAAATACTTTAAGACTTTGGGCAGGGGGGGGGGGGAAACTTCAAATACTTGATAAACCGTAACCCTAAAATTAACACCGACGATATATCATTCACACTTGTCACAGTAAATCGGATTGCAATCATTAGAAGTTTATCTAAGCTAGAAATGAAACTCCGGTACTATACATGCAATATATGCTGACGGCGTGCAGGCATGTGTGCAAACATATTGACGCACCAGGTTCCAGTAAATTAATGGCTTACAGTAATGACGTCGAAACCTAAGACCTGCGTTTTGCAGAATGACGGAAAACTCTGAAAACATTGTGTACTCCTGCAAAATTTAGATTCTTTTCTTAACAAAAAACCAATTAGTAAAAGCGTAACATGCAATATCACTTTCCTGAATAATTGCTTTTGCAGGAAAATCAGCACCAAAGAACAAGACCATCTAGAAGTATACAATTATTTCAAAAGATTAATCAGTATCATAATCCATAATGCCTCAAACCTTTGATTATTTGTAAGATTAAACAACAAACATAATGTATCTAACGATTAAACAGTATTATAACGCATGATGTTTCTTTCTTCGTCTTCCCGCCCCCAGACAAATATAACCCATGATGCTTCAAACCTTAATAAGGATAGATATTAACTCGGCAGACACAAAATTTGGTAAGCACCTATTCTAGCAACCAACCTGTCTCGTCTCCTTTCACAGTTACCATTCCCACATCATTAAGTTATTCACATTAGCAGCCAAAACCAGCATCATTGACGTGCTAAACAGATTCTCACTCACCGAGAATCGATTGATTCTGAGCAAAAATACATCCATATCAATTTAACTCCTTTTTTCTTTTTTCTCATTCTACTTTAAGGGATAAGTATGCAGGCTTCATGTAGTTGTAAAATGATAGTAATCACAAACTGAGAACTTCTCAAAAGATCCTTCTTGCAAATTAATAGTGAGGTGGTACTCACACAAGCTCCAGCTAGAGATTTGTCTGTGTGCTGAAATGATAGTTCAGGAAGAATGGAGCGATGGAGATGCCCATAACTTAACTTTCTTGTCAGAACTGGATGTGGCTAAAACCAAGACCTGTTCATTTCCTGCAGAAGGAAACCAAACTATTAGTAGTAAAAAATACACATCATGGATAAAACTTTTATCATTAAAGAAAACATACTGAAGGCATGCTGATTATGAGTAGAGATGTCCCAAGTATAACACTAACCAGATTTATACCTAGAAACTAAACACAAGGCGTGTTCTCATGTCTTCCATGCATTTGAAATCAAAATTCATAGTCAGGTTTGAACACACTTGTGTTACTCTTCTCACATTGTTTTAGCAAACAATGATCCAAAACAATTTGGCAGGAATTGTGCATCAAAATCAGAAATACAATACAAACTTTTACCAGAGTCAGGTACTCAGATGAGCCTTACCCATGGGAATTGTTTTAGGCGCCCATGAAATGCACGTTATGCCACCTGCAAGTGGAGAAAATAATCAATGACTAGAAGGTCAAGAACATATCATTCAAAAGAGAGAGAAAAAAAAAAAAAAAAAGGTCAAGAACATGGTTTTCATGTGCTGCCAACAGAATATATGCTTGGTCTTACTATCATGGGCTTTTTCAGCTGTATCCAAAACCACTCCAGTCTCAACAGATAACCATTGCAATGTCGTGCCATGGGTAGCAGCCAAAATCCCCCCGTCAGGGGAAATACTAAGGTGATCGTAGGGCAAAACCGCACCAGTTGAATCATGAAGAGGAATTGGGAACACCTTCAAAGTCTTTGGATCCTCATCAAGATGATAGCGCACTTCCATCAAAGAGAAAGAATATAAGTGAGAAGAATCTAATACTTAATAATCAACCTACCGCACCAGGGGGGGGGGGGGGAAGAAGAAAAAGGAAAGACAAAAACAAAAGCCTATTTCACCAAACGAATAACAAGAAGCTATGGCCAAGAAGGCAATGAATTAGGGGGGAAGCAAGGCCATTGAATCACGTCAAAATTACTACGAGTTGCTCATTTAATAACCAGATGATTGGCTTTTGCCAAACATCCAATGTGCCATGGAAAATAAGCAAAAAGATCAATTTAAATAATGGATGAAACACTTGGCCGTGGCAACTACACGCATGGTTTTAGCAAAGTGAAATTCAAGAAAGAAAAAAAGGCAGCAAGATAGACCCACACGCAACACCCACACAAACATAATTTACAGAAAAGCATGCATGAACAGAATTTACAGTATACACATAGCCACAAAGAGAGTAGCTCAAATTCCACTCTCTCTCACTCTCTTTCAAATTCCACCTCAGAATCCAACTCATTCATCCTCTAGCCCACATTTCCTTTTCTTTCTCCTAATAATCTTCCCATATTTGGGCCAAAAGCCTTGGGCCCATCATTTCCCTCCCCATCATGCTTGAATTGTACTCAACCTGAAATCCAGGTAACTGTATTCAGACGATTCCAGAATTCACCCATATATAATTTCAGAATCTAGCCACCCTCTCTACCGGACAAGGACTCACCCATAAAGTGAGTCCACAAAATTTCAAGTTCCAAACAAGCAACTGACCCAATCTACACTACTACATACAGTTTATCAGATAAAGGCTAAGGTGAGGAATAGACAGAAGGGAAATCAGCCCACGTTTACACGCACAAAGCAATGGAGGGCAGAATGGTCAAAACAAGGAGGGTGACAGACTGTCTGACGTTGGCAGAGTAGTGGAGAGAGCACAAGGAATGATGGCTGGGACTGAGTGGAGGGGAACAGAGTGTTGTGCTTGTGAGAGGTTCTGATCTCTTGAAAACCATAGTTTTTGTTTTCTTTTTTTAGTCACAATTTCATCTTCATTTTCAGAAATAGACTTTTTAGTTAAAGAGTTTCAGCACAGAGAGTGAACCACCTACTGTAATCCTCGACTTTTGCTAATGTTAACAGAGGAGTTCCAGAGGTATTTTCATTACTTTCAACACTTCATTTGCAGGTTTTATCATTAAGGTACCAGAGTATACTGTTCTAGGGGATGGCAACACCACAACAGAACGAGTTGATTGAAAAGGGTGGTGGAGGAAGTTCAGAGGAAGCAGGAAGAAACATTAGAGAAGCTTACCAATGCTGAGACAGCAGTGGCGCACATCTTGAAGCAACAACAAAGATGGTGAAGAGAAGAGAAGGATCGAATCACCATGTAATCAACAGCCAAAGACGGAGGCGCTAGTGAATAGGAAAGGAGCACAGTGATAGCCAGTTGACCCTCATCAAAAATTGAAGAAAATTGAAAGAAATGATCGGGTAAGTAATTGAGGCTCAGCTTCAAAGGTTTATTCGATGAATTTGTCCAATACATATAGGAAAAATAAAAGATAAAATCTAATGTCTTGAAATATAAACTAGGATAAAAATTAAATCTCATCTAATCAAATTAATTCAAATCTAAATAAAACATAAAAATGATTAATAAAACACTTAATAATAATCTAACTAATTTGGGCCCCATCTTAAGCGGGCTTGGGCTTATGTCTTCATCTTTCAACAAAAACCACTGGGAAGTACAAAGGGGATGGGGTATGCTGGGGAATCATGAAACTAGGCGTGAGACAAACACACCCAAAGAATCTTGACAAAGTTTAGGAAAATAAAAGACAGAAATAGAGAGATTTGAGTGAAGAAAAGAGAGAAGACGAAAATAATATCTAGAACCAGGATTTGAAATTCTAGATAAGAGGAAAGAAAAATTATTCGGACAATACTTCATTTCACACATAATACTCTGTAAAGATATATCGTCTGACAAAGCCAGATCTAGAAATAACTACTTCCTAACTTCACAACAGTTAAAATAAGACATGAAACTGAAAATAACTGACCTTAAAGCAACTTAAGCCCGCATTAACTACCATTGCATATAACTTAGACCTTATCCAGACGCTTCTTCCTCAGCTAGACAAGCAGGGGACACCAGATCCTAACAAATCTAAAACACCTCATGGATTTCACATCCTAGGTGGAAGAGAGAGATATCGTGTGGGAGGTTGGTTGGAAAAGAAGTCCAAGGCTATGAGACGGGAAGTGGAAGGCGGTGTAACTTCAAAATGGTGATCCTAAAATTAAGCTCCACGAAGGCTGCAAAAAGCATGGGACCATCATCTAGAAGTAAGGGTACTAGAGAGAACAGCATTGAAGAGACAAAAGCTACGCCATATTGAGTCTTTATCCCCATTTCTACACCCACATGCAATAGTGGGAGTGTAAAGCACCGCAGAAAAGGTTGTCTGAAGCAGAAATTAACCAACAAAGGTAACTTGGGTTATCCTTGGACCAAATCAGAAGTGCAAGAATAAGCAGCTGCGAATGATTATGCTATCTAAAGGAGGCAATGGATTAAGTACAGGATGCATATCATATCTGATACTTAACCGATGTACCTAATACGAGCACATAAACTTTTTTAAAGTATCCGTGCCATAAAGATTCACATAGCAATACTAGAGAAAAGATTGGTCCATCTAAACCAAAATATGTAAGTTCTACATACCATTGATATTCCATATTCTTATTGTCCCATCCTTGGACGCTGTGATTATTTGCTCTGAATTTGGGGCAAAGCACAACCAAGTTACTGCACTCTAAGAAACACCCAAAAAAAATAAATAAATAAATAAATCACAAATCAGGGTTCAAACTGCAAGAACCAAACATCGCAGAGAAAGTAGATAATATAAGCAATTATGAAGTTATTCAATGTCAAGCAGCCCAGGAATACAATCATATAATTTCAATTGCATTCATGCAAATATAGATCAGAATTCAAATCAAACTTGGCAAACTATATTGTTCAAATAATTAACGTACAAAATAAAGCATTAGGAAAAAAGCTTTATAATTTTCTCAACATGCAGTTTCTAGCATCTTCTATCCTGTTTACAGTTGTATTAATCATTTTTATGCAATCTACGTTGTTTTCCCCTTAATTGCAGAAACTCTTTTCTTTATTTCAGTTGCACCAATCTTCCTACAAAAGTCAAGCATGCCCTATTTGTGAAGCATGCTCTGGTGGGATATTGGCAAGTTCGACTGTATATGCAGATAATACCATGATTACAGGTGATTTGAGTAATGAGATGAGCTTATCAACAAACATGCAAGGGTACTTGAGGTATTAAGATTTGGAGCATATAAGATACTTCGGGAATATAAGTTTTAAAAACAAATAAGGCATTTTTGTATCCTGAGGAAAATAAGCCCCAGATCTTCTTGAAGAAACAGAAATATCCGGTTGCAAGCCCTGCTGAAACACCCAAGGAATTAGATTATATGCAAAGACTGTCAAAAAGATTTGGAGCATATAAAATTCTATGCAAATATAGATCTCAATGCTTTTGCTGCGTTCACAGAATACATGATTAAATGCAATCTTTAAGGCAGATTGATTGTCACACTATAGCTTCACTGGTAATCAAGACTTAAGGCCAAGTCTATATGTATTCCAGAACTGATTGAATGAGACACAGAACAGAGGAACATATGTTTAACATCTGATTTCCAGAGTGTTCCAATATCTTCTATTCAACTCAAGGCACCTCTTGAAAATTGGCTTTAAGATTTGAAAGACCTAAAGTGTAACATATGTAAATAAAATAAAGCATTGCAATTATATAGCACATGAAGGTTTAATGAGACATAATAAAGAGACTTGATGATATTGTTTATGTTGTTTCAGTTTGAAAAGAACCCAAAACAATAATTATAGCAAAAATTATAAACCTTATGCCCCTTAAGCTGCATAGCTTTCGAAACTTCTTTGACAGATCCATCTTTCGCATACACAATCTCCCACACCTGCCACATAAAAAAACTTGAGAGGAATAAATCAAGGCCCAAGATTAAACAGAATTAGTAAAAAACTGCAGGTATTTCTCGTTTGATGAATCTGCTGGTAATGTGGGGCATGCATTTAAAGTCTTCTAACAAAGTCTTAAGCAATTGTGCCAATGCATATGACATCGATGATGAACAAAAGGTGATAAAAATAGTAACCTCAGGTTGACATATTACACTCCTCAATTTCAGTAACAAAACCTATGAAGCATGGAAAGTGACAGGATTAAACTTTATATGCCAGACAATATATGCACACAAGTGAAATTTGCAAATATATAAATATCGAATATGTGAATAACAGTGAATAAATTTTTTCCCTAATATTAAGATGTCACAATAAGAGCTTATAGCTCAATTGCACCCCATGCCTCCACTCATGGAAGAGGTCATGGGTTCTATACCCCATGCTGCCAAGTAAGGGGTGGCTGTGTGGGTGCCCTACCAGAGGGGAGAGGATTTTAAACTCTTCCTCTCTCTAAATATATATACATATATATATGTATATAAAAGAAGCAAGAAATCACAACAAAAGCGGATGCTTGGGTGGAAACCAAACCATAGTTTTAAAAGTGATTTTATGGTATACAAAATAAGTATGTATGAAAAGCTTTGTCTCAATTTGCTTTAAAACGCTTTTTGAAAAAGCTTCTTGGGAGTTTCCAGACCCCCCCCCAAAATCTGAAACCAAATTCATGTATTTCAAATTACCATCTAGGCACATCCATGATTGTCAAATCTTAATTTTTAGTTTTACACTTGCCATTTATTGAACCCTACTGTCTGAGTTGTTGTCCCCAGTTAGCAGGCCACTTAAGAATGGTTAAGCCCAATAGCAGTCCAATTAGCTAGTATGTACCACTTATCAGCACATATACACGTGACTATAGATTCACATCTTAAAATTTATATTTTAAAAACTACATTACAAATCTTGCTAATTAAATTCACCCATTAGTACTAACTTTCACATCTGCAGTAAATGCTGCTGCTGCAATGAAACGCCCATTAGATGATATAGCTGCCATGGTGTTTTTCAATTGATTTGTATCCAAATGCCCTAAATTCTTCCCAGATTTCCCATGCCAAAGAATGATGTCAGTCCCTGGATTAGAAACCAAACAAAATAAGATGTAGCAGAACAATATCATCAAGCATTGTACATCAGCACAAAATGAGAATTCAGTAGTGACAAGTTCATGAATGGCCAAGATATAATGCATTTAACTGAGAGCATCATGCAGCATACTCTGGTGTAGTACCGTGATTTAATGTATAACTCAGTAGAAATAATGTCTCATGGGTAACATAATATAGTGATGAACCCAAAATTATCCAAGCCTTTGGCTGAAGTGGATGGGAGAAAGATGGGAAAGACTCAAGATGAGACAATTTGTTATGAGCAACCAGATATGTTGAAAAGAGAAATGCCAGTGTTTAAACCTCACATGGGTTGTGATGTATCAGAGAGGGAAGCATGAAATAACTGTCCAACAATTCCTCTCCTGTTCTACATGTATCAAAATCCTAATCTCTATCTAATTAGTTATCTATATGGATGATATTAATGATCAAGAAGAAACTTCTCAACTAATACAACACTTGATAATTTTTAGAGCAAAAATTTACGTAGGTTGCTTCTTGGCCATTGAGAAAGCTCAGTAAAACATAGGGTGGTAATCTATCAAATGTATGCACTACACATATTGGAAGAAAACAATATTAAATGCCAACAGATTCACCCTGCAAAAGATCCCCATTTCAAGCTGCTACCAAGATAGGGGAAGACTTGGGTGGATCCCTCCTAGAAGATATAAATGCTAGCTAGAAAGTTAAATTATTTGAGAATCACTAGACCAAATATCCCCATATCGCAGTGAATGCACTTATTTCTACAAAATACACCAATCATTGGAACGAAGTGATACATATCATTAGATATATCAAAGACGCCCCTAGAAAGGCCTCGTCATATGATCATGCGCACCACTAAATTGTTGATGTGCCAACACATTTGAGCAGGATCTCCTACCGATCAACAATCTGCTGCTGGTTACAGCATTTTTCTAGGAGAAAATATTGCCTCTTGAAAAGAAAAAAGCCAGATATGGCAAGATATAATACTTAAGTGGAGTACATTGCCATGGCATTAGCAACAAGTGAACTTGTGTGATGAAACAATTGCTCCTAGAACATCAATTTGAGATCTTGTCCAAATTACAAAGTGTGACAATCAATTCGCTCTATGCATTGCCCTAAAACCATCTTTCTCGAAAGGACCAAGCACATCAACATTGATTCAATTTATCAAAGAGATCCTATCAAGGACCATCACCACTAGCCATGGAAACTCAGAATCAACTAACTTATGTTTTGTCCAAAGCATTAGGTATCCAACTATTCACAAGGATGAGATAGAAAGGCAGGTTAATGAGCTTATGAAAAATGGAGTAATTCAAGAGTGTGCTTAGCCATTTGCCTCTCCAATAGTTTTAGTGAAAAAGAAGAATGGTTCATAGAGGATGTGCATAGAGAATTGTAAGAATAAATATCTTACTCCTCTAGTGCAAGAGTTTTTGGATGAGCTCAAGGATGCCAGATGGTTTACAAGGCTGGATTTAAGAGCCGGATACCATCAAATCTGAATGGAGCCTAGTGACACTTACAAAACAGCTTTTAGGACTCATTCTGGCCGTTATGAGTAATTAGTGATATCTTTTGAGCTCACTATTGCCCGTGCTACTTGTCAGGGTGCAATGGACAGCATTTTTAGAGATCTTTTAAGGAAGTTTGTGCTAGTATTTTTTGATGATATTTTAGTTTATAGTGCCAGCATGTATCTTCATATTCAAGATTTGAGGAAGGTGCTCCAAATATTAAGGAAAAACCACTATTTTGTTAAGGAAAATAAATGTAGCTTTGCTGCAACTCAAGTAGAGTATTTAGGTCACAGTATCAAAGAGGGACTGGTTTCTACGGATCCCAAAAAGATCAAGGCAGTGCTGGATTGGCCTGAACCTGAGTCAGTTAAGCAATTAAGCCTTTTTGGGGTGGGCTGGATATTACAGAAGGTTTATCAGGGGTTATGGTGAACTGCTGAGGCTCCTAACTAATTTGTTATGAAAGGACGGCTTCAACTGGACACCTGAAACAGCAGTTACCTTCAAGAAATTAAAGGAAACGCTAGTGGCAGAGCCTATTCTTACTCTTCCAGATTTTTCAAGGGCTTTTGTGGTGGAAACAGACGCGTGTGGCAGAGGGATTGGTGCTGTTCTAATGCAAGGAAGGCAGCCACTTTCATTCTTCAGCAAAGCTTTAGCCCCTTGACATCAAAATCTTTCGATATATGAGGAGTTGCTAGCGCTGGTGCAAGCAGTGGAGCATTGGCATCAATACTTGGAGGGAAGACCTTTTATTATTAGAACAGACCAGCTGAGCTTAAAATACTTGCTGGATCAAAAGTTGAAGACCTCTTTTCCAATGTATTGGGTGTTTAAGTTGATGGGTTACAACCATGAGATCCACTATAAGAAGGAAAAGAACAATAATGTTGGTGATGCTCTCTCTAGAATGCCTAGGATGGAAATTTTCCAGATCACATTGTCTACTTGTTCTGATCAATTATTACAGGAAACTAACGCAAATTGGGAAGAGGATACTACCTTAAAGGAAGTCATTGCTACCCTCCAACAACGGGGTACAGCTAGAAAATTTTCTTACGAGGAGGAATTGTTAAGGAAGAATGACAGATTGGTAGGGGGAAGCAGTGTGGCTGTTAAGCATAAAATTTTAGAATGGCTTCATTCTACTCCTCAAGGAGGCCATTCAGGAATTCATGCAACTTATCAAGGGTCAAGACACTTTTTTGGTGGAAGAATTTGTTTGAAGAAGGGAAAGAGTACATTAAACATTGTGACATGTGTGCTAGGTGTAAGTATGATACGACGACGTATCCAGGGTTATTGCAGCCTCTTCCAATTCCTAGCACGGTTTGGGAAAGTATAACTACGGATTTTATTGAAGAGTTGCCAAGGTCTAATGGCAAAGACACTATTTGGGTAGTGATAGATTGATTGAGCAAGTATGCTCATTTTATTCCATTATCCCACCCATTTTCAGCTTCAATTTCACTCAACACTTTTTAGATCATGTGTACAGATTGCAGGTGCTCCTGTTGAGATTATTAGTGATTGTGATCCTTTGTTTGTTAGTAATTTTAGGCAAGAGTTCTTAAAATTTTGGGTGTGGATCAAAAGCTTCTTCCTACCATCTTAAATAGGTGCATAGAAACCTATTTACGATGTATGTGTTGGGGCAAACCAAAGCAGTGGAGTAAGTGGTTATCCTTGGCTGAATGGTGGTACAATACCACTTATCATAGATCTACTAAGATAACTCCTTATGAGCTTCTCTATGGTGAAAAACCACCTCTATATGTGCCTTATGTGCCAAGAAGTGCAGCTGTGGAAGCAGTAGACAGATCTTTTACAGCAAAAAAAGAGGCTTTGTCTATTGCTAAACATCATCTATAGGCTGTGAACATCATGAAACAAAAGGCGGATTTGCCTAGAACAGATAGAGAATTTCACATGGGGCAATGGGTCTTTCTAAAGCTTCAGCCTTACAGACAGATTTCAGTACCTTCTAAGAGCTCTCAAAAATTGGCTCCTAGGTATTTTGGCCCTTATGGAGTAATACAAAGGGTTAGTCCTGTGGCGTACAAGTTGGAATTACCTCTAGATTCCAAAATACACTCTACTTTTCACATTTCGCTACTTAAATTGTGTCCTGATCCTAATGTTAAACAGCAACATCCTCCTTCAGATTGGCCGAAACCTCCAGCTACTCGTGAGCCAGAGAGAAAGAACAAAAAGGCTGGTAGAAAGAAAGGGAGAATTGTTACAGAGCACTGGTGCAGTGGAAAAAACTTCCTGAAGAAGAAGCAAGTTGGGTGATGTTATGCCAGTTGCAGCGGCAGTTTCCCTCTTTTCAAATACAAGACCCTTGAGGGCAAGGGTAGTTGAGAGGGGGATAATTGTTATATAATTATAAATATTAAATATTGGGTTAGGTTGTGGTGTTACTAATTCTAAGAGCCACAAGGATTTATTAATAAAGGCTTACTAGGTCTATAAGGCCTTAAGGGGGTAGTTAACCAATATTAGAGTTAGATGTGTTACGTCCTATAGTTCGTATAGGGTCTATATACACTAGTCAGGCAGTCCATTATGATGGTATGTGATTACTGAATAAATCCAGAGCATTTTCCAGTTCTCTCTCTGTCTCTCTCTCTCGTTCTTCTTCCCAAAATATTTCGTCTTCTTCTCTTCCCTCTAACTTCTTAACAACACCTTAATAAGGATCTCACATTTCCTACCTCTATACAAGCTTTGGAATTCAACCTATAACACTAACCTGAGGGGAGTATTAATTAAGAATATTGTAAATAACTATGAAAATTAGTATTGATTCGAGTATCATAGGGAGAGTATTATGTAATTATTAGCAGTCATTATTATGGTAGCTTGTGTCATGACTGTAAATAAGAGATTTATATGAGTTAGAACTCACTATGTTTTCCATTCTCATCTCGCTCTCTTCCTCTAGTTAGTTGTTTAGAAGGGATTTGTTTCTCTTACCGAAAGTTGTTGGGGAATAATAAAAATAGGACGTCTATTAGATGATATGAACCCTAATAGCTTATAAATTAGAGGAGCTATAGATGCATGGGTGTCAACGAATTGAATAATAGTGCAAATTTGCTTTTACAATTTATCAAACTAACCTTTATGTCATTGCACAATAGAAGAAAATGTAAATTTTCAATACAGTAGCTTTTTGAAATTCTGTCCCTATTCCCCTACCTCTACTATTTCTATTCTCGTTCTATCTACCACTTAGACTTTCCAGATTCATGACAAAATACTTAGTGGCGTCTTCCCATATAACAAAACTAGCAAACCAGCACTAACACTTAACATATAAGACTATCACAATCTCAACAAAAGCATCATGACTAAAAACACAACCTCCATGAATTGGAATCTCACAAGAGAATGGCAGCCTCTGCATGTACTAACAGAAAAACCATAGAAAGACAATTAACCCCTTACTTTGGGTTCAATGCATACACGACTGTCCAAAATCATATTAGGGTAACTATTTTCTAATTGTACCCTTCCTTAACTATTTTCAAGAAATGTTTAAAAGTTTGTTAATCTGCAAATTACTATATGAATATCACAAAATGTTGTACGACTTTGCATGATCGATGTAATGTCAGGTAGATACCTTCTGAGCAAGAAACAACAAGTGCACTCCCATCTGCACTGCCATAACTTGCAGTGGTACCAAACAGAGTCAATATTGCCTTTTGATCATGAACTTTGTGATGCTCCCACTTAATTTCTGGGAGAGGAAGCTTAGCTTGTGGCTTATTTTCCGTAGTTTTAGGTTTCTCTTCTTCATACATGTATAATGAACTACCAGAGAGATTATGAGTTGCTACAAAAATTGAGGATGCATCATCAGAAAATGCAATTGCAGTTGGATGACCTCCTGCAGGCAAATTAATTCTCATAAACCTGCATTATGTCCAAGAAATGAAATGTATGAATAATGAACACGATAATGATTGGGTAGTCTTGGTATATATATGCATGAGAGCCTTGAAATAAGCATACTTGAAACTTTTACTTGCCGCATCATCCAACTTAAATACCCTCACAACTCCATCAGCACAAGCTGTTCGCACAGAAAAAATTAGTAAGAAAGAGAAAAGAGTTTAATATTGTGCTCATAGAAGCGAATATTAGAAAAACCAAGCACAAGAGCAGATTAGTTATATTTAATATTAGAAAGAGGAGTCCTCAATCATTCATGATAAATATGCATCAACAGAACAGCTCATTTCAACAAACCCCCACTCACAAGAAAAAGTCAGGATGAGCCTACATTACTCTCCAAAAATTAGCAATATTATATGCGTTAAATAAAGATGCACGTGAAACCATTGTATAGCCATAATTCACTTGATAATCGAAAGAGGCAATGAATACAGATAAATAGTTAATATGCCTTGCACAAATAAAGCAGTAAATCTATTGCTAGATTAAAAATGTTCCTATATAAGTACTTGCAAGGTCCTAACATGATATCTTATGTTAATTTGACATATTTTGATCAGGTATAACTAGAATGAGGTTGGGGGAAGCAGGCAACTATCTTATTCATACATGACTTTTGAAACTAAAGTGCTACCCTCATCTAGTGCAAAGATAAAGACAAAGGAGGGATCAGGGATTCATTTTTGAAGATGAAGAAATCCAAGATACAAAAGACACCAAAACTAAAGGAGAGACAATTTTTTAGCTATCCTAGGAAAAGAGGGTAGCATATGGCTGAATCATTTATATTATGCCAAGTTAAGAATCATTACAATGCAAGGTGAATGTGTAATGATGGACAAACATCCTGCAATACAAAAGGGTATAACAATCAGTATTGATCATTCAAGCCATGTGATTTCATATATACAAATTTTTTAGATGGCATTGAACTTTCTAGCAAGATGGGAACTTTTGAGAATGTGACCAGAAACTTTGATTGGGTTGAGGATGAAGACATTTCTAAGCAAGCTCAACAGTTGTCTAAAGGTAAGAATGACAATAAGGCATAGTTCAATGAAAAAGGTAACCCTAGAGTATTTAGTACTTAATAAAGCCTCAAATTTAGAACTCAACTAACTTGTGGGTTTTTAAATGAGCTCATGTGGATTTGGTTTTTGAGTGACAATACTTGAGGCAATCCAATTTTATCTGCGAGAAAGATGTTGCGAGAACCAGCAGTATAGGAGGCAACAGTGGTAATATTTGAGGATTAATTCAAAAGTGAGTTTGAATGACGAGTGTTTTTGTTTGCAAATTTTTTTCCTAAACAGCAGTTTTGAGAAGTTAATTTTATTTCGACATTGTTTATTAAAATCATTTTTGGACGTACAACTACCAAAAAGGCATCACTTTTATGTCACTTCCTCTAATTTACCCTTATTACTTGATTTAAAAATTATTTAGTAAATGAGATTTATACCACAAAAAATTTTAATCTTTTTGAGGTTAGCGCTAAAATTAAAAATAAGTTTGAAAAAACACGATTTTTCGTCACACACACAAAAAAAAAAAAAGGAGGACAAACACCTGACTTTCAATTGAAGTGCATCTATTGAATAAAGCATATTACAATTAAGAATATACTAAGCTAAATAATTAAATGAAGCAAAATTACAAATATAACATTTACAAAATGGTTAATAAAAAGTACCAAAGAACTAAAGAAATAAAGGAGTAAAAACTACGAGGGACAAAATAGAGGATTCCATCAGCACACTTTCAACAGCATAACCGCAGAAGCAAGGTAAAGTTTGCTTCTAGTTAAACATGGGTTTAGAGGTAAAAATGGTTTTAAAAAGATAGAAATGTAAAACCAAGATTCACCCCCCCCCAAAAAAAAAAAAAAAAAAAACTGAAGTTTCTGGTTTCAAATGAGATTTTAGACCTCTAAATGCTAAACCAAGCTCATAAACATATCCTTAATGTAACAATATGAATCGTTATCCTGCGGAAGGTAAATTCAGAGTTTTTCACCTGAAAAGCAATTGAAAGATGCGGCCAATATGGTGAGGCAGCCATTAATGACCTTAATTAAAAATACAAATGAATTACATCAGGAATGGTTGGACACACTCAATTTTCATTCATGGATTGCCACTCGTTTCTGACCTCTCATTTATGCTCCAAATCTTGGCTAAACTGACGCATGGAATTGATGCAATCTAGCCACAGTGTAAGTCTTAGCCAGAATAGTTGCAAGTTTCTAGAAAATAGAAGATTAAAGCAAAACTCACGCTCTTACTGATTCCCTAGCATCCAAGAGGCTAGAGTCTTTCCCTCACAATACTCACTGTCTACCCTTATCTCTACACTAAACCCCTCCGCACAAATATATACATTACACAGCCCTCTCTCTCCCTCTCACAAACTTCACACACCCCTCACTTAGGCTTGACCCGTTAAATGTGGGCCCATTAGCTATGGGTCCATCAATAGCTAAATCTCCTTCTTGTTGGATTTCACTAAATTCATCTATTGTTTTAATCATATTTTGGTTGAGAATAAATAGACACTATTTGCATATATGATTCATTGATGTATAGAGAGGTGAAACAGTGTTATTTCACTATCATAAGAAAAACCGGGCAAGATAGCCAAGGGCAAAACGTCCCAAGTGAGAGGCACTAGAAAGACACTGCTTGAGTAAAGCAAGACACTACACTTAAAAACTTATTATCTAATCATCCAAAAAATTATAATATTTTCAATTTAAAACTTACTTATTTTTTATTATACAAATTTCCTACCTCATAATATTTTAAAAGTAAAACTTTCCAATTTTTACTATAAATCATTTTCCCATTAAAACTTTCTTATCTTATAAATATCTCATGAAATTATTCTCGTTAGTGTATGACACGCCACGACTTAAAATATGTTATCAATAGGTTAAATTATAATAATGGTCATCAAAAGTTGTGGTTCCATAGAGCTTGTCCACTTCCAACGAGCAGGCAAGTGAGCCGATTCCATCATTTTTCATGAAACTGGGCTCCACAGAAAGCCAAGTTACACCACACCAAATGGGCCAATTTTTCACTTCGCTCCCTAATTCCACTTCGAGGCTTCACTTCCATCCTAACAAGCGGACCATAAAAGTCCAACCTAACAACTCCAAACCAAGTTCTTCAAGGCTCCAACCTCCTTCAGTGTTTACAGAATTGCAACAAAACAATTGATGACCAAATCCTACTACTTCTCAATGCCAACCAAGACCTAAATCCTATTTCTTAATATCCTACTTATTCCAAGCCCCTAAAAGTGCTCCCATCTGACATACAGAGTGCCAAAGGGACTTAACCCAGCACCCCTCCTAGCATGAGAGGCACTATGGGTCTTTGACGAGCACTTTTAACTATATTGAAATTGAGCAGGTGTTTTATAAAGAGATTGTTAGTATGGGCTTGGGCCGAATAGGGTCTTAAGCTACGGTTAAGGTTGTTGCTTTAAGTTAGCAGCAGATTTTGTATGATTTTATTTTTAAAATTTAGATTAGATTCTGATTCTCAATCATTAGGTAATCAAGGGAAGATCTGATTAAGATCCTCTAACCTAGGACTCGTCTATATATGTACTCCTCTGATTGATGAATAAAATAACTTTCTGTATCCTAAACCATATGGTATCAGAGCAAGATGATTCGGTTCGGATTCGGACTGGATGATCTTGGCCAAGGTGCGTCGCTTTCATTGTCGTTCAATGCTTCCTCAACAATGGCAACTCATCAAGTGTCCCATATCGACGCAACTCCCTCACCAATCACCATTCACAGACTAAACAGTTAGAACTATCTACAATGGGCTACTGGAGTTCGGTTGTAAGGGAAAATTCGGACACCTCACTGGAGCAGTGAAACAACCATCGAGCGCCGATCCCAATTACACCAAATGGGAAGCCAAGGATTCCATGATTTAATCCTAGCTAGTGAACTCGATGATACCTGAAATCAGCACGAGTTTCTCACTATTCCAATCTGCCAAGGATGTGTGGGACACAGCTCGCGACATGTTTACTACAATTCAGAACCGGGCAGCTATTCTCGAAATAGAGGAACGACTAGACAACCTTAAACAGGGCACTCTGAATGTGACTGAATACTAGACTGATTTAAATGTCCTATGGCAACAATTAGACCTCTATGATTCACATGAATGGTCCTGTATTGTATATGCTAGACTGTACAACAAAATCAAGGAGGAACAGAAGATTTATAAATTCCTTCTTGGGCTCTAAACCCCGTACGATGAAGCGAGGGACCAAATCATGAGCCTTGAGGTCCTTCCATCCTTGAGAGAGGTATTCTTCACAATCAAACATGAGGAAAGCAGGAAGAAACTGTCAACTTCTCTTCCTTCAGTCTCAAAAGAAATAGAGAACAGCGCCTTTTTAGCTAAAGGCACTCAAGGACCTGATAGCAAAAATAGGAAGAATGGAGGATGGTGTGAACACTGCTAGAAATCAGGTCACACAAAAGATGTCTACTAGAAACTCCATGGAAAACCATCAAACATAAAAGGAAAGGGTAGACCAGATGCAAAGGCACTTGCTGCAGAAGCTACAGCCGGAGGGCAGTTAAAACTTAGAAGAGAAGAGCTAGAGATACTTCGGAAAATCCTAGATAAGCATACTACTCTTGAACAACAAATATACTTTGGTAACATTGCCTATACAGGTAACTCAGTTTTGGCACTAAAACCTAGTGTACATCATAAGAACATATGGATAGTTGATTCAGGAGCCACTGGGAATGTAAATTTGATTAGAAATTTGAAATCATATTCTTTTCCAATATTTATTAAAGTAGCAGATGGTAAATATCTTAGAGTTCAAGGGATTGGTGAAGCATGCTTAGTTGGGAAAATAGTTCTAGAAAAAGTGTTATATGCACCTGATTTAAAGTGTAGTCTTGTATCTGTTAGCAAGGCCACTCAATCTCATCAATACCATGTTTACTTCACTGCCATTCGATGTTTTTTTCAGGACTTGGGGTCGGGGAAGATGACTGGCACAGCTGAGTTACTAGAGGATCTTTATTGCATGGAGCATCAAGCAATCCCATCAACAAGTTCGATGAGTCTCACTATTGCCCAAGTTTTTTTTGC